CTAAGGGAGGGAGCTAGAGGGAGTGCTCACCAGTCCCTGTAATAAACGCCAAGGGAAAAGTCATAAGAGCACAGAGGACATGCCATCAACCCGGTGGCTGCTTGGGGAAGGCGGCCCGGAAGTGTCTTGCTTTGGGAAATCTATACAGCCATGAAAGAAAATAAAAATTCTAATCAGAGTGATTGCCAAAGCGAGAGGAAATCCAGGTGTCCTGAGGCCCACGGTTTCCTTTCAGCCCTGGGCATCTCAATGTCCCCTCAAATTAAGACAAGAATCAAAAACCTAACTTAAAAGCATAGGCTAGGGATATAGGTTTTCTAATGGGACAGCTGACGTCTTGAGCACGAAGGGTGTATAGGAGCGAGGTGATTTCAGTGGAGAAACTCTGGTGGCTAATTATCATCGACTGGTGGGGATCGTCCGTCTGGAAGTCAAGTTTCTTAAGCTGTGACTTCACCTTGGCGTTCCTTCGAGTCTGACAAACCATTGCTCTTCTCAGATCCTGTGTTCACCTGCCTGTGCTGGGCTAGCAGGACTAGAACGAAGGCCCCGGATCTCCACAACACCTGTCTGTACCTCATCCTTAACAAGAATGTTAACGGCAGAGCACAGGACATCCCTCTGCCCCTTGGGAAAACTTCCCTTCTCAGGGTCTGAGCGACCAAAATTTGTTTCAACTCTGTCTTGTCTGACACAGACAAGGAGAGAGAACCAGAGCAATTATCTAAATCATTCCACAAGAAAAAACCTAACATTTTCATTTTAATTCTCTGGGCTAGTGGCAGTTTAACGTTTTGGGGGTTCAGGGTGTGAACATAATAAACTATGGCCTCTGCAGAAAAAGAAAAGATTTTTCTGGATGCACAGGACACATTTCACATGTAATTGCTGAGGAAACCCTCCTAGGACCAGAGACCATCTGTGAAACATCCGTGGTCAGGCGTAGGCGCAGGTATTATAAATCATCATGAGGTGTGAACTGCCCAGTGATTCCTAAGGTGGGGGCCTGTACCCCAGACGGTGCATAGGACGACCCACCAGCGTGTGGGAAGAACATGTCAGTACTTCCAATGCAATTTATCCTGTGTTTGAAAAAGTAAGAGAAATAAAACTTTACAAATAGGTAGGAGACAAGGTAACACTGAGGATTTCCAACAAGCCCGTGTTTCTTGGCTTGAGATGTGTTCCAAGGGGCACAGGGGTGTCCTGAGCGGAGAGTGGGTCTGACACTCTCTCTGGTTCATTCGTCAGAGGCTTGCGGTGTGTCGCAGTTCATTGGTGACAAATGTCATACTCGCAGTAGATGTCATGAAGACAATACCTTTAAATAATATTCACAACACTTTGCACTGAGATGTGAGTGGTCATTTTAATCTTTTGTGTCATACAGGATATTTATGATTTTCTCCTGGCCAAAAACTTAAATGTCTCTTAGAATCTAAAGATGTGTTTCTCTTTAGTAGCAATAAAACACATACTCTAAATTCCCTGAACTTCTCATGAGATGACAAGGGAGAGTCATACTACCCAGTTCATGTAGGTATTTAATTTGTCCCCTCAAGGTAATGTGCTGTTTAAAAAATGAGCTTAATAGCTGATTTTAATCTCGATGAGAAGAGAACATTTTGGACATGAGCGATTGGATATGTTCTAATTGTTTTGTGATTTGTTGCAAGAATTAATGAGTCACTTACAAAAGGTTCATGCCTCTACCCTTAAAAAAAAAAAAAAACTTGCTAACACAATTTACTAACAAGTTAAAACTTTCCCAAATGATTTGAAAGTGGGGTTTGAACGCATTTGCTCAAACACATTTGTTGACAACATCATTTGTTGTCTCAAACAAATTATATATATGTGTATCTGTGCATATATATCAGGTTACTGTAACTACCAATTGACATCAGCTGTTATTTCAATAAAGTCTTTGCATAATCAGCAGGAAGAGCTGGAAAATCAGTAACACAATTTATTAATCATACATGACAATGTACTTCTTTGCTTTGTGTATCTTTTTCTTTTGAGGTATCTTTTTCATCTATGGCAACTGTTAAACCCAAGGATTAAGATAAACCTGAATTAAAACCAGTTCTTTAAATTTCTGCATAAAAAATTTAAACCAAGATTTTCCAGAAAATAATAAAGTTTGTTTGATTGTATACATTTCTCTAAAATATTTATTAATAATATAAGCTTTTTGTTCCATTAATGAATGAAACAAAGAAAATAAAAATTCAGCATTTTTTTCAGCTTTCGCTTAAAAATGTTCTAGTTTTTTATTTATTTTATTTATTTTTAAAGATTTTCTCTATTTATTTGAGAGAGAGAGCAAGCATGAGCGGGAGTGGGGGGGAGGGGCAGAGGAAGAGGGAGAAGCAGACCCCCTGCTGAGCAGGGAGCCCAGTGCAGGCTCCATCCCAGGACCCCAGGGCCATGACCTGAGCTGAAGGCAGACACTTACCCGACTGAGCCACCCAGGCGCCCCAAAAATGTTCTAGTTTTTTAATGTTTCATTATTTATATCTTAGATTTACATATAGGTATAGATGTACAAATATGCAGGCAAAATTTTTAATTTAAGTAAATTTTCATATATTAAGAAGTCTGCGATCAAAATATTTTCCTAAGGGGAATTTTCAAAAAGGCTTGGAATCTATTGATTTAGAACTGCTGTTTTGGGACAGTGGGGAGCACTTAGCATGTGCAGGTTTTATTTATTTTTATTTATTTATTTTTATTAAATTTTTAATTTAAATCCAATTTGGTTACCACACAGTGTATTATTAGTTTCAGGGGTAGAATTCAGTGATTCATCGATTGCCCATCACCCAGTTAACCCCATCCCCCGACCCCCTCCCCTCCAGCAACCCTCAGTGTGTGCCCTCGAGTTAAGAATGTGCAGGTTTTTAGAAGCTGTTTTTGAACTCTGAGCTAACTCCACTCTCTGTGTAGCTGCAGAGTCTGAGAAGAACAAAATACTAATGACTTCACCAAGGTCTCTGGCACATGGAAAATAGATACACCTATAAGAGTAAGGCAGGAGCGTGTGTGTGTGTGTGTGTGTGTGTGTGTGTGTGTGTGTGTGTGTAAAGTGGTGGGAAATGCTTTCTGAGCCATAGTAAAACTCTCTCCACATGCTGTTAAACCAGATAATGCAGCGGTGGAGGAAGAGGAAGAGAAGGGGGGGTCATTGGAAACATCTGGCATCGGGCTGCTACATGGAGCAGTGGGGTACAGTAGGATGCCGTGGAGTGCAAGTCCCACGCACAAAGCCCACAGAGATATTTTGTCCCATCCATAACGTTATGGAGCTCATCGGATTTCTCTCATTTTCAATGTGTCCTCAAATTGTTCCTGTCTCCCTCATGGGTTTATGGACAAAGCACACATGGGAAAGTGGTTTATAAACTCTGGAGTGCTGTACGAATGCTCAGGACTAAGTAAACAAAACATCTATCTAGTTAGATGGATGTTGTTCTCACTTCTCTGGTTGGAGCTCAATCATCTCAGTCAGTGTGGGACCCGGCTAAAACATCGGAATGACTGACATAATCTTTGGCTAGGTGACTGGATGTAACACAGTTTGAAGCAACTGCAAACCGACTAGGATCTGGCACAGTAATTTATCAATTCTTGTGGGATGTTACATGTACTTGCTTTGGACGCCTTGGATTTTGGGATACCTTTGTATTCTTCATGGTGTCTAGGACCACATGTCAGGCTTAGTTGATGATTGCACCTGAGTGGCGCAGTTGGTTAAGCAACTGACTCTTGGTTTTGGCTCAGGTGGTGATTTCAGGGTCATGAGATCGAGCCCCGCATCGGCTTTACACTCAGTGTGGAGTCTGCTTGAGTTTCTCTCTCCCTCTCCCTCTGCTCCTCTCCCCAACCCTCTCTCTTTCTCAAATAAATAAATAAATCTTTTAAAAAAATTGACTTGCTGTCTGCTCTGATTTTCCCAGAGAGTGATTATTTAGCAATTAACCCAATGGATCTACTAGGCCCTGCTGTCTTAACAATTTTAGGTCACTGCTGTCTCACTATATTGACATGACAATGTCCAGCGGTTGGTATTCTTGGTCTAATTGATGCATGAGAACACTGAAGTACAGAGGTCTTGGTTACCATGGCCAAGAGCCTCAGTTTTGGCTGTTCTTATAGGGCATACAATACATATTTGTAACAGACATTCACATAAATATACTTCCAAAATCAAGCATTATTCTCTATATGTCAATGGACTTGCTTATTGCCATAACCACTATCCTTTTCTGAAGGCCTTGAATATTATTCATGTCTTTCTTCCAAGAGCACACAATTCAGCTAATTAGGAATTAGATGGGAAGTGGCAAAGTCGGGGAAAAATTGTTATTCCTAATTATGTCTGATCCTTCTGAGACACTCCAACAAAAAGAAATACCTTCCTTATGCAGACAGGGGACTTGCATGTCTTTTTTTCTTTTCTTTCTCTCTTTTTTTAATTTATAGCCATAGCCCAGGGCCATTTTCTGCAGGGCTCCTGCCAAGCTACAGCTTTCCCCCTGGAAATCTTTTGTTTGCGTTTTTCTGTCCTCACTCTAGACTCTACATGCCTCCCCTTGAATCTTCATCTTCTGACGTCAATGCTTCTGGTGCTAGCCAGGATCTGCAGGCAAGTTCTGAGGATTTCAGAGGCGAGGTGAAGAAAAAACACTCTTATGTCAAAAGAGTGGCATGGGGGACGTTCATTACTCTAAAAACCTGAGAATTACAAGCGGGTACCACAAACGGTGTGTCAGGCCCCAGTTGTGCTGGGCATGTTGGCGGGAAGGGCTCCCCTTCGAAGGTCGTGGTGCCTGCCCAGCTTGCTTCTCCCTGGAGCAACAGAAGAGAGAAGAGTCCAAAGAGGAAAGAGAGAAGATAAAGATGCTCCCTTGTCCTGCTCTGGACATCCAGATCTGGGGAATATCCTGAAAGCAGGAGATGCATCATTTTAAGCACATTGTCACTTGGCAGCTATTCAAAAATCACTACTGTGTGTCTACATGTGCCAAACACAACGACAGACCAGCAAACACAAAAATGAATAGCAGCTGGGCTTAATCTGGCGGACTGCATGGGAAGGAATGATTGGAAGGTATGTATTCCTGTTTTATATGAGGTATTCATTGACTGCAAAGGAAATCCATAAGGAGGGAAGAAATTATTTCTTTCTGGGGCGCTTCAAACATTTTCACTATAGAGATAAGCTTTAAACGACACGGTTGTTCCACCGGGGTAGACAGAACAGAGACCTGAGAAGGTCGCAGCTTAAGGGGTTGGGGGCTCAGAAAGCTTTTTAAGCCGAGACCTCGGAAGTGGTGGGTGGTGGAGAGATTGCAGGGCTGTGGGGGTTATGGCGGGAAGGAGTGGACACCAGACGAGGAGGCTGAAGAAGAGGCGGGGGGGGGGGACAGTGCAAGGGACAACAATGGCCAAGTCACAGAGCCTGAGCTTCCTTTTGAAGGTTATAGGGAGTTCTCAAGGTAAACAAAGAGCAACAGGTTCCTTCTACAACTGTGGTCCCTTGGATCGTTTGTGCTGTGGAGGGCTCCCGGTGAGCCAGTCCTTAGCCCCGATGAAGGCGCTGTCTACAGGTGGAGGATCAGACCTTCCCAACTTTGCTTTCTCCACCCCAGGACGCTCGGAGATCTGGCTGATGAATATCTGTACTCTGAGAACAGCAATAAAAGAGGAGACTTGGCCTTTTTGATAGAAATGTCAGGAGCATACATAGAAGTTACCTCTCCAAGTATCACACTCCACAGCAGGCCAGGTGAGACTTCTGGGCCCGTTTCTGTCTTTATTCTATAATTTTGGGAGGTAGGACATATTTACAATCCATGGATTAAAATGAAGTCTTTAAAAGGCTAATAAAGATAATGAGCCTGTTTCTGGCTTCTCCTTAGTGAATTTTATTCAGCAGAACCCTTCAATATTGGATTCCGGATGGCAGAGTGAACCCAGTATAGAGTACCTCATTCAGAATATACTTCTAATTCTCCATCTGGTTTTTAGAAGCACACAAGGTTTCCAGGTAAATTATGTCCTACCTAAAATGTGGAGTACACAGCCAGGCTCCACTTGTTTCTACACTGGTGATCTGACAGCCATGAGCATCAGTCCTCTTACACATGTCCTTCCACGGAGACTGGCCCGAGCAACCTGCTCATCAGCGGGACTGAGTTTCAGGACAACTTGGTAGGTGGAGCAAATGAGATGCTGGGCGAGGGGGCCGGGGGAGTGCGCTCCGGAACCTGAGGGAAATGGTCCTGCCACTTCCCACCCAATGGTGTGACCAGAGCCAAGTGTTTCAGCTCTCCGAGCCACAGTTCCTCGCAGGCAAACTGGGAGAGTGACACCAAACTTTCATGGTGTGAGGGGCACATGCCAGCGCTGAGTGGGGAGTCCGCTGGAGATTCTCTCCCTCTCCCTCTGCCCCCCGCCACCCTGCTCATGCTCTCTCTCTCAAATAAATAAATAAATCTTAAAAAAAGAAATTCTAGTAAAAAACAAATCTCTACCTCTATTTATTCAGAAAAGCACTGAATGTTTAAATGAAATACCAGGGCATCAAAAGATAATCCAACCCATCAGTTAAAAAACATATACAGATATAAATATAAATGTAGAGTAGTTGTGTTGAATTAATTTTTACTTAACTATGATATGGTTGACTATTATAGAGTGTCATTCATATTGTCTTCCGTGTTTATGTCCATACAGTTTCATTTCAATGACGGACAATCGTGTTTCTGAAGATTTTTAGACATTCACTTCCAACTGCTATTCCCTGTTTCACTCATAAGATCTTAGGTTTCTTAATTCTTGCAGATTCTTAGAAATAGGATGTCTCTGACTTTGAGAGGGAATATATATGTCCCGAAGCTTGGAAGAGAACATGCATCTATCACAAGGGCAACGTGACTCTGACATTAGAGCAGTGTTTCCTCCCCAAATTCCCAGAGCCTTCTGGGACCCTGTTTGTCAATGTCTCACTTGGTGCCCACTCAGGGACAGAGAGCCAGCAGGGCCAGTCTGCAAAGGTAGTGGTCACAAAGCACCTCTGGAACATATATCATGTGGGCATTTCTGTGGACTTGATTCATAACTGTAACTTGGCTTGGAACACAAATGGACTTTCTATTCTCCTGACTGCCTTTTGTATAAATCAAGCTAGTGTAAAATCACATTTTAGAAAACATGTATAAATAGGGACGCCTGGGTGGCTCAGTACGTTAAGCATCTGCCTTCGGCTCAGGTCATGATCCCAGGGTCCTGGGAACGAGCCCCACATCGGGCTCCCTGCTGAGTGGGGAGCCTGCTTCTCCCTCCCTCTCTGCCCTTACCCCCTGCTCGGGCTCTCTTTCTCTCAAATGAATAAAATCTTTAAAAAATGTATAAATAAAAAGAAGGGATGTGCTGAGCAAAATGTCTCTGGGAATCCATCAGGTCGAAATTTTCTGAAGAGCTGGTGGATTCAAACCATGTATCCATTTCACTGGGCATAGGAGGGGATTGACTCCAATTGCTACGAGCAGTCTCTGAAACAGTGGACGACAAAGATTTCAAGAAACAGACACACACGTATACAAAATATACACATATTTCATCATGCACACATTCTATAATGTCTTTCCACACGGAATCAATTAATTTTAGATAAAATCATTCCACCTGAGTCTGCTTATTCTCCTATACCAGGATCAGAGAAGGGAAACATCAAATTAGTAGGATATCAATAATGAGACCTCAGGTCAAGGCTACCTGTACGGGATTAAATATTTTTTCCTCAGATACGGAAGAGGGCAAGCCTGGCAATTTAGTATACGCATGTGAAGTGCAGCCTGTGCCAGAATAATCTAGGATCTCGATCAAGAAGACATGGCAGCTTTCATGTTGGGTTCTCCGGGGCAATCTTGAATCTCTGTGAGCCTCAATCTCCTCATCAGAGCACATCAGCCTCCCAAGGTCGTTGTGGGAATCAAAGGGATAAAGTCAGTGGAGATGCTGTTTAAATTGTGAAAGTGCTTGCAAACATTAGCTATTACATCCAAGATTTGATGACACATCTCATTTAAACTCCCTTTGTTTTCTGGTTGTGATAACTGAGCCCCCTCTTATTCTCCTATGCAGCTTAGAGGCACATGAAGTGAAAACCCTGAGCTGCACTGGATTCCTTCTGGAAATCACAACCCTGTCATATGGAATCGAGGATTCCCGTGATCTCATGGACACACCCCTTCCTGGGAAGTTGGTAAATATCAAAAAGTAACTCTTAAAATAATTGCAAATGCGAGTCAATCTGTGTTTCCCGGCACACCCCACAGCTTTGTGGGCATTACTGATACAGGAGGCGATCCTTAATAGGACGTCTATGTATTCTGAATTCTCAACTTCTCTCTTGTCTCTGGGATGATTCGAGCCCTGTAATTGAAGTTCCAAGAAAATTGAAGTCATTCATCTCTTTTATCTTTAATGTAAAAAATATAGAAATACTGTAACTTTTGCAGAAAAAGCCCCGCAACTGCACAAAATTATAATAATTGACTCTGTTTGTCTTCATTTAACCAGCTGGGAAGATAGTCTTGGGGAACACAGCAATTTTCTAAATTCAGAAATAGTAAATTCATGAGAACAGCTGTTGCCCAATCAAGTGTCAGCACTTGTTTATTTCATACGAGAAACCGAAGGGAGAACAGGCTGCCCCAACACCAGACAGCAGAGCTCCACTCCACTTTCTTCTGAGATGAATCAGCTTCTCAGTATTCCCCGAGAAGTTACCCTGGATGAAGGAAGTCTGAGACGGTCTCAGGTTCACCAGGAGAGGAGACAGGAGAGAGCTGTGGAAGAGAGCCCTGTCATGTTATTAGATAGCATCAAGGACTTCCATCTGAATAAGTTCCCAGTGGGAGTCACCCAGGTGGACATTACCGTGCTTCAAAAATGTTTTAATTTAATTTTCTTTAAAAAGATGCTCTGAAACTTTGTGTGTGTGTGTGTGTGTGTGTGTGTGTGTGTGTGTGTGTGTGTGTGTGTGTAAACATCCTGGAAAATCTGTTTAAGATGCAAAGTCCTGGGTCCTTGCCTCTTAGGTTCTGAATCAGTAGGTCTGGAGTGAGCCAGGGAACCTGCATTTTCATAGATGTGCCCCAGGTGATTCTGATGCTGGTGTCTAATGAGCAGGTGGAGTGGGTCTCCCCACGCACCTCACTTCCCCTAATATGCTAAGCTTTGGGTGCAGAGCTCTGTCTCTGGCCTTGAATGCACCAGCTTCTTCCCATCTCAGGGAAATCTCGCTCTGTTCTTTGCCTACAGAGCTCACTCCCTATATCTTTATGGGGCTGCCTTCTCAACATTCAGGTTTTGGCTCAAGTGACACCTTCCTACAGAGGCTTTCCCAAATCCCCTTTTGTACAATACTCCTCTCCCACCCCCAGCTCACTCTCTGTCTCGTTACCCTCTTTATTCCTCCTTGGGGATTGGCACTCTGTGTCCCCTTGTTTCAGCAGACTGCAAACTCCGTCACAACTGGGATCTCATCTGACCTGCCACTGTGTAGTCCCAATGCCCATGAGCAGAACACTGCCTGGTATATATCAGGAGCCCAGCAAACATGGTCATGGAAACATGAAAACCTGAAACATTGTCTTTGGCAGGAGAAAGTAGGTGTTTGCAGGTCAGAGAGCCAAGCATTCACTGCTTTTGGGAAATTTTTCCTTGAAATCATTTCTTTCATCTTTAAAAATTATTACAGTGAGTTTCCTCTACCATTCCATAATATAAACCTATTTATTTTAGTATAAGAATAATTCTTGGGCGCCTGGGTGGCTCAGTCATTAAGCGTCTGCCTTCGGCTCAGGCCATGGTCCCAGGGTCTGGGGATCAAGTCCCACATTGGGGTCCCTGCTCGGCAGGGGGCCTGCTTCTCCCTCTCCCACTTCCCCCTGCTTGTGTTCCCTCTCTTGCTGTGTCTCTCTCTGTCAAATAAATAAATAAATAAATAAAAATCTTAAAAGAGAGAAAGAATAATTCTTAAGGGGTGGCTGGGTGGCTCAGTCGGTTAAGCGTCAGACTCTTGATTTTGGCTCGGGGCATGATCTCAGGGTTGTGAGACTGAGCCATGCATTGAACTCCACGCTCAGCTCAGGGTCTGCTTGAGATTCTCTCTCTCTCGCTGCCTCTTCCCCTCCCCTCTGCCCTTACCCCCCACTCACACGCTCTCTAAATAAATACATAAAGAAAAATTTTAAAAAAGAATTCTTCTTCTTCTTCTTCTTTTTTTTTTTTTTAAAGAGAGCACGAGTAAGCAGTGGGAGGAAGGGCAAAGGCAGAGGGAGAGGGACAAGCAGACTCCCCACTGAGCAGGGAACCCGACACAGGGCAAAAAAAGAAGAATTCTTAAAATTACTTACCATTAAATAAAATCAACACTCTAGGAAGATGGGCCACATGGATTTTCTAAATCCCGGTAGTGCTGGCAGAACTCCAAGTGCATGCAGGATTCTGAATAACTCAGTGTTAGACTCACTGTGTAAGAATAGGGATACTCTTATTAAAGCAAGACACTGACTCCGACTCCCCCAGGAACCCAGGACGACATTCTAGAGGGACATTTGGCTGCAGAGGGGCTAGTGACCCAGACGCCTGACTGTCCTCTGGGCCCCCCCTCTCTGGATAGAGGCTCTCTGGGCCCCTGCATCTTACTGCTGCTCTTACTGCATGCAGGGACATTGCACACTGCTCTTCAAACCCCTTATGTTGTTGCCAATCTGAACTGCTGAGACACACCAAGTTTTCCAATCCCTATGTTCAGGGAGAAAATAAACCTGAACTGGAGAAAGAACATTTTTAAGAAAGTCTCTGGTTTACTGGTTGCAGGTTTCCTACACTTGCATGGCAGATGACTGGCAGGTCGGTGGCCTGGCTTCCTTCATTTTTCTGCCTCTGGACATTGTCCCTGCTAAAGGCTCACACTCCCTCTGCAGCAGTTCCTGACTCTCTGTCCTAATATCTCATTCCAATAGAATTCTAACTCATGTGGGGAAAGAGT